ATCCCAAAATCTGCCAAGCATAATCAACCTTTCCCTATGTTTCAGTTCTGTTGAGGTCATTTTTGTCCATAGCAAAATACAATTCAATTAACTTCTCTGAGAGCTAGTTTTTAATATCCATAGTAATAGAAAAACTCGCTAACAAATGGTATGCGAGCAAAAAACAAAGCTGCAAGGTCTGTAGTCTGCTGTCCATTCATTTCGTTTTACAGATGAAGCATCAAGTGTAAACATCATAACGTGATGAATAAAAATAACCAAAAACTTAAGGCAGTGAAAAAATTATTCCCTATCAAAGATTTAAATGTAATGCCTTTACTGCAAGTTTAAAAATCTTCGTAAAAGGCATGAAATTTCTCATTAGTATAAAGAAATCAATATTAACTAAACCAGGTCATGGTTACTGTCTTATTAGCTAGAGCAACAAGTGCTTATATAGAATGAAGAAGGCTAAAAAGAATGAGATAATCTAGATATAAAAGTATATGGTAACACGAATAAATGGACACGTTTCAAAATCGTAGAATAGGAACAACTGATTTAGCTCGTCGGTGACAGTATGCACTATTAACCTTTTAACCACTTAAAGTGTTCACTTTAAGCTTGGTAACAGCTAATAATCATAGACCAATACCACAGCGGGCGGAATGCCGCTTCACCCTCCACTATAATGATGGGAAGGTAAAATCAGGAGTCGGAAATGCCAAGATTCTAGGAAGAAGGCTCGAAACCACGATAAATGGCGGGCATATGTTGTGGCCCGCCGATTAGGAGTGGGTGCAAGTGATTCAGGGGTAGCAACTAGCATTCCTTGAGTCTACAAATAACGAGTCAGAAAACTCTTCGCCATGTCATGGATTATTTTTCATTAGTCTTGATACTACCGAAAATCTTCTATCATCATATCCGATCATCGTGAGCTTACCTCAAAGCATGATCTGGTGATAACTCGAAGTGCAAGCCTACATTTAAATACATCTGAGATGCGCAATATAACTGGAAAAAAACTTGTGCACGAAAGAATATTCGTAAGTTTTCAGCCATGTGACAGGCGACAGACTGAAAAGGTCTGGTAACCTTATCAATTTGGAAACGGTACCTTAAGAAAAAAATAAGAGGGATGGAAAAACGATAGGTAAAGATAATTTATTAGCGAACAACTGCAGAGACAGATGTGGCCCAGTTTGCCAGTAGTCCGGTGTGGACTCAGCGTGACAGCCATTAGAAAGCGTATAATGTGTAGACATGAGAAATATTAGTCGGACGTGCACAGACTTTTAAACAGCCAGTTGATCGCAATACGGACGGCTTACTTTTTGTGCAGTTCTAACTGCGTGTTAAAACTTGCCAGCGTTTCTTCGAAAGCTCGCAGGGCACGTCTCTTCAGATTCAGCTCCTGTGATGTCTGCATATACTCTTCGTGATCAAGGTCATATTCCTTCGACTTGCGAAGATAGTCCAGGTGTACGGTGTGCAGCAAGTTGGTTAGTTGTTCGACGGTAGACGACGCTGACTCCTCGTCGTAACTGAACTGATACTTCAACGTAATATCTAGATCGCGATTGTATTGCTTCAATGAATGTACGTGGTAGTAGGCGACCAGATCGGGCAGCGATGAGAAAGGCAACGACTCGTTTGGTGAAAAGCCGAACTTCCCATCTCGTTGATAAATCTTGATCAGCTTATTGTTGCCATTTTTCCTTAAAGTTAGCGTATAGTCACCGGAGGTGCTTGAATTGCGCACCAAAAAAGTGCCGTCAATTTTGTCCCGCATGCGCTCGGTTACTTCATCGCGAGAAACGTCTCCCCAGAACCATGGGTACTCAGACAGAGAGCAATCACTGGATATAGAATTGGTCGTCGAAGCGGTAACAGTCGAAACCGAAACCATGGAGTCACAGTCGTCGACAGGAGACGGATAAGACGTCTCGGGCTCTTCGGGGATGCAATCGGGCAGCATAAGCGAGTTCAGCGATCGGCGGGCGGTCAACTGTTTACTGGAAATAACCAACGGATTCATAGGAACAACAAGACAACCGCTCTACATACTAAAATATAAAACGCGTCACATTTCAGCTGCATACGCAATAGTATCAATTGGAATTAGTATCAATTAGAATTCACCTTCACCTCATATACTAAGTGCACAATGTGAATAACATCAAACAGCTTGATGAGAGAAACTA